TGTTTTCAGCCTCCCCATCGCTGGGATTATAGGTGTGTGCCACTATGCCCCAGACTCTGGCTGGCTAAGCCCACACTCGGGGTGGGGCTGGCAAGGCATGTGGTACCAGGTATCGAACCCAGGTCCGTGTGCTTGCCTAAGCCTGACTAAGCAGGCACTTTAGTCCCCTGAGATATTTCACCAGCCCCAGAGAAATTTTCTTAGAGGATTTGAACTTGAATTTCTTTTCTTTTTTTGTATCTTAGTACAGGGTCTACAGGGTCTCACTATACAAATCAAACTCATAGTGATCCTCCTGTTTTCTGCCTCCCAAGCACTGGAATTACAGGCGGGTGCCACCATGCCCAGTCTCAGGCGCATCTCAGCATGCCCCAGGGGGTGAGGCCAGCACAGCACACTTGGGATAGAACCCCAGTGGCTGCACCTGCCTAAGCAGGTGCTTTAGTGGACTGGAACTTATGAGATCATTTATAGCAAAGGAAAACCAAAATATGTCTGCCTAGGAATTTATGAGAAAAAATACTATGGAGCACACCAGCGAGGTGACAGATAAACATGTGGATGCAGCATGTGAAGACCTACTGTAACAGCAGTAAAATAAAAAGATATCAACTGTGCCTTCCAAGAAAGGGCAGGAAAATACAACATGCATACTATCAGTGCAAGTGATACTTGTGCATAGAACATGCAGTTGTCATGTGTAAAAACTGCCTGGGGTGTGACCGTTGAAGCAAAGTTTATTTTTGTGGTAGAGTTCTGTTCAAGTCAGGGTTTGCCAGAAAATAGATTCAATACAGGACATATAATTCATAGGTTTATTTTATAATATTCATCCAGAGTCAAATGAAAAACAGAGTGCAGGAAATCTGTCCACACTCTAGAGACCCAAAGAATCCAGCTGAGGCCGTGGATACCACAGCAATGTCCTGCATGAGTCCAGCTGAAGACCTAGAGCCCATGGCAATGCCCTTCGCCAGTCCAGCTGGAGGTCTAGAGCCATGACAATATCTCGTGTAAGTCTGTGTCAAGGATCTGCACTGGGAAGGCCCAAAGGTCAGTGGTGGAAGCTAGAAAGTTTGTAACATTGGATGAAGGATCTGGGCCAGCAGGCTGAGGGATCTGCACTGGAGCCAGGAAGAGATGCTCAAAGTAAGGACCAGAGCTTTCCAAAAAGAACTGCAGCCATCTTCATTGACAGCAAGGGCATGAGCTCCTCCAGAGGTGAGAATGGCTGAGTTTATATCAGGAAAAATCAGCATGACGAGCCTGTCCACGAGCATCAGTAGCACACCCTCTTCCCTCCAGTCCTGCTTTCATGCCATTGATAGCAAACCTCAGGTGGATCTTCAACACCCAGCACCGGGCTGACTCTGTTCAGCTGGGTGTTTCGGGTTGACCATTAGTTAATCCACCACAAGTTCTATTGGCATTTTCATTCTAGTTCACATAGTAAGTTATCTTTTAGGTTTTGTAAGGAACCACACAGCTAATATGAAAATGTTGGTGTCTGCTCTGAGAAGTACAATACACACTAAGAATTTAATGATTTATTTTATATTCCTTTTTACTGCACATTTTATAGTGTAATAACCTCTTGCCAGAGTGGCAAGATCACTGAGATGTCAAGTGTGTTCTACAAAAAGGCCAGGAAAACAGAAGACCCGTGCTGTCAGTGTAAGCAGTGCATGTGTATGGACTGTGCTGTGGCCATGTATGCACACTGCCTTCCGTGTGATAGTTGGAGTAAAGATTGTGTGTGTGTGTGTGTGTGTGTAACACTATTAGTATTTTCATTATAGTTCATATGGGAATTGATTTAGAAGGTTCTTTCCTAGACTTTGTACAGCAAAAATCAGTAAGTATTGACAATTTTGATGCTTTTTTATAAGCAATAAATATTAAAAATACAATATTTTATTTTTGTGATATTTTTCCTATTACTCATTGTTCAATATAATAAAACTCATGATAATTATGATTAATAATTCATCAATAGAAGTGGTCTAAAGAATAAAGGTGGGTCTCCTAGACCCAGGTTTATGTGCCTTGATGACAGGACTAGTCTTAAGCTCCCAGGGCAATGGCGAAGTCACACTGGAGAAGGGCAGGCCTGTAGCCTGCCATGACTGGTAGCATTAGAAGACAGCACATGAGAAAACACAGGCTCCCAGGGATGACACCATGTTACAGATCAGCTGAAGACTGCAGCGACCAGCCGTGGCTTGCCGCCACTACAGAGGCAACATCCTACTGCACAGGTGCAGAGGGTACCTGTCAGGGACCGGCTGACGCCTTGACTTCAGACTCTGGCTTCCATTACTGGGAGAGAATCTGTTTTCTGTGGTTCTAAGCCATCCAATCTGTGCTACTTTGTTCCAGAAGCCCTGGAAATCTAGTTCACTGCCCGCCTGCTCAGATTGCAGTGTGGCAAGCCCTGGTATTTCATTTGAAGTGGTGGGTTTGCCTACATTTCATCATTATCTGCCTTATCCATGTACCTCAAGTTTTGGTTTTGTTTTGGATTATTTTTGTGAGACAGAATCTTGCTATGTAGTGCAGGCTGGCTCTGAACTTATAATGATCCTCCTGCCTCAGCCTCCAAAGTACTGGCATTATAGATGTGTGCCACTGTACCTAGCATGCCTTGAGTTTAAAATATATTAGCTGTTAGCTCAGGCACAGGTATAGGATGATGCGGCCTCCAAATACTGTTACAGCTCTTAACATATGTGCCAGGAATCGGAGACATGTCCAGGAATACTTATGACAGCCCTGTTTGTAAGAGCAAACCTTGGAAGCAGTTCAGATGAGCAGGCAGAGAGAATGGGACACTGACTATGGAGGCAGGGTGTGCCACGCAGCGGTGGGAGTGGGCATGGGCAGTACCACCCATTTCATCTGTGGTGCTCCCAAAGATTTGTGTGAAGAAGGAAGGGACAGAAGATGTGAACTGGTTCCATTTACACAAAGCTCCAGTGTGTAACATCAGTGCACTGTTTAGCTATGTGTGCACATGTTAAGAATGATAAAGTTGTGCAAGGCGGTCAAAACCACACCAGTCAGCCCTAGGGAGGTAGGGCAGAGTACCTTTAGTGGCTGGAGATTAGCTTCTGGAAAGTCATGGGCCATTTGAGGGTGGTGCTGTATTCCTTTCTTCACCAAGAAGCACATGCACACACTGCTGTGTGCAAGGGTCCTAACAGAGTCCTGGCCCTTAGGAAACTAGCAAGCCAGCAGAGAGGCAAGATGCAAAAGGGCAGCTGGAGGGATAGTGTGTACCGTAGGAGATGTGAATTCCTAGAAGCATGCGCAGCATCCAGAGAAGGGGGGAGGGGTGTGTGTGTGTGTGATGTGCGCAGGGTGGCCAGGGAGCACTTCCTGTGTCTTGAGCCAGTATTCAAGAGGACACAACCTGGGGAACTGGTGGAAACGGCACATTACCACCTGCACTCTGTTTTGTTCTTCATTTTCCAGAACTGCACATCAGCCCTAGAATTCCTGTTTCTTCCCTTCCCCTTCCCCCACTGATTCCACTTGGAGGGATGAATCTTTGGCATTCCTGCCTAATCCCTGGGCTTTTCTCTGGGGTCCTTTATCGCAGAGCTCAGAAGGTTCTTGGAATGTAAGGAGGTGTTTTGAATGGGCTGTTTTATTACCATAATAGCTATAACTCTTTACATGTGTTTACTCAACGCTTCACTATTTTAACGTTTGCTTAAGAAGAAACTTCTTACTTATAAGTTTACAATGTACATTATGGGAATAGTTTTCCCTGAGGAAAATAATTCAACAAAAGAGAGTTTTCCTTCATGGAGCAGCTCAGCTGGGTTCATGAGTTTTGGAATTGGCAGGTGGATGGGAACTTGATCTTGTTCCTATTTTAAAACTTTGTTTACTGGCAGGTATTTGACTGTTATAAAATTCATTGGTGAACTTAATGATCTGTTTAAATGTCTGCCATATTGTTAGCTAACCTTTGGACATTAAAGAATGAACTGATGGTAATTGACTTTTTACATAGATTTTTTTTTTTACCGTACCAGTTTCAACTTCTAAGGGATTTATAAAGTTACCCCATTCCATGGTAACAGCTCGTGCCACTAAAGCCATTCAACTGTCTTGAAGGTGTGCCATTTATTATGAGGAGACTGAGAAATGGGGTGAATGGATCAGCCCCAATCCATCACTAGCCATTGGAAAAAATGATTCAAAATGCATTCTCTTTGGGGTCTAGATTATATTGATTTTAGCCAGCAGTCATTGCAGCATTCAAAAAAGTGAAAGTAAATGTGTCTTAGAGATAAATTATAAATATCCAAATGGTAAGAAATGAGTTTCCAAAGGAAATGCCACTTTGCATTCTGTAATTTCCAGAGAATCATCATAAATCATAAACCAGATTCCTTTAGCAAATAGATGTAAGATGACCAAGGCCAACTGAGAAGCTCTAATGCGTGTGAGTCACATATATCTATTTGGATGGTAAGCCACTTAATTGAGGGGGTAAGGCTAGAAGTTTCTCAGAGCACATGTATTTCTGGGTGCCCTAAGCCAGAGTACAAGGTAATGAATGACACAAGAGCTCCCTTAGGAATTCCATGGGACGTTTCCCTAGCTGGCAAGAAAGGTGTGTGTTTGTTTTCGGGGAAAGCAGGGAGACTTGGACAGCAGACTGTTTGAAGGCTGCTCAGGGCTCTGGCAAGATTAGATTGATCATCTTGGAGAAGATGAGTGTGGGATGGTGAGGCAGACACTGACCTGGTGTAGGTTACAGAAAACCCAGCCTGGAGGATTAGCTCCAGTTTGGAGAGCGATGTAAGTGTTCACCAGAAGCATGTGTAGTGGCAGAACTGGGACTGGGACAGCTTTGGCACTTGGTTTGCTGTGCTGTGCCTTTCCATCTTCCTGCTCAAGGCCTCGGAAGAGTAGCTGATGTCAGGTCCATTTTCTAGAACATGGAGCTGCACTTTGTCCAAGATTGTGTTATTATTATTATTATCAGAATTGCAATTGGAAGCCCAAACTGGTTTGAATACAGAATTCCTGTTTTTTAATCAACTGTTTCCTACCGCTTTGCAGCAGAAAGTAGTGGCGTTTTGACAAGCTATGTGAATGGCGGGGTTAATAGCTTATTTTACAGGTTAAAAGGACACAATCATTAATTGCTTTGGTTGAAGAAAGTTCATTTGGAAGTAATTTATCTTAATAGTGTATAGCAGGGGGGGTGCCAGCTTGTTTTGTAAATAAAATTTTACCCATTTCTGTGTAGCTACTTCAGTGCTACCATGAATATAGAGTTGCAGAGTTGCCGCAGAAATGTACGGTGTGCAAGGCCAATCTATGTGCTATCGGAAGCAAACTTTCCCAATTCTTGTTCAAAGGGCAATGCATGGAAAACGATGCCCACTCCTGCTTTTGCCAATCATAGTTTGTCTGCATGAGTGCGGAGCAGCCCTCCCCCCAAGTAGCACATGTAGACAGTAAATTAACAGTGTCTGTACTCTCAAAATGGCTGGGACATGGGACACTTTTATTTTCTCCAGAAAGTGGTTTGGTTAGAGACATTGCAAGGAACGTTTTCATTTGCTTGCCTCTGTGTGGCCTCCAGTCTTTGTGAGTTTGATGGAAAAAGTCAGAATAAATTAAATCCCACTGTATGGACACCCCAGGAACAGAACTGAACACCCATTGGAGGGGTGATGCTCCCCCTAGAGGCCAAGTTGGAAATGGGAGCGGTGTCTTGGACTTGGGTGTAATGCACTAAAAACGATATTTGTTAAAAAAAAAAAAAAACATTGTCATTTTGCTTATCCTGGATAGTGGAGTTAAGGCAGTATATTGATTTTTTAAAATTGTGTTTCAATTGATAATATCTATGATTCTCATGTAAGCTAGGAAAGGGAGTTTTATAGGACTATGTTTTATAGCAAAGAGAGTATTAGTCTGACAGTATCAGGCATCACTGACATAAGCATGGAATTTGGTATTTCAAAAGAAACAGTAGGGAGAGTGGCCTTTAAAAGTTTGGAATTTTGAACTCAGCTGCTGCTTGTTCAAAACTTTGGAAGTTGCATTTGAAGACTGGGGAGGTCTCTGCAGCCATCCAGGGAGCCTCTGGAGAAAGAGTACATTGGAATTAATTTAAATGTCAACACACAGTAATAAATCACATTAAGGAGGATCAAAAGAGGAAGCCTGCATGCCTCTTGTTGCTGCTTTGTTTGTACACAAGAAAATTCAGCAGAAGGGCTGGGCAAAGACTGTGGATCTCAGATCAGGTGACTGTGGGAAACAGAGCTCCCTTCAGTGTGTAGTGAGGCAGTGGCCAGAATCACTTTAATTCTGTTGCTTTCAGTTTTTGAGCTATGGATGAACATGGCCTGCATTTGTTTTCAAGTGTTTGTAGCTGTCTGCTCCAGGTGTTTTGTTTGACCTGTTTTGCATCATATTCAACAGAAAGCAGTTTCTTAGTCTGAACAGAAGACAGGGAGAAAGAGGTTTTTGAACCTTAATTTGAAACATCTGCCTCATGGGGACACTTTAGAGTGGAAGACACTATAGTTCTGGTTCTTTTTTGTGCAGACTGCTTCATAAATTGGCACAACAGTTCTGTGCCTGGAGCCATCAGACCTCGAACATCTTCATTAGCCAAGTGCTCGAGCCCCCTCTAATAAGCTTGCGTGAATTCCTGGCCTAAGTGAAATACTGGGCAAACACCCATTAAGTTCCTTGGCCAGATCTTTACTGCCCAGTTCTTCCTGCATATAGCAAGTATTGACGGAGTACTTGTTGGTGCCAGGCACCGTTACAGGTAAAAGGAATATATCAGTAAATAAATTTAGAGGCCAAGCATTCTTGCCTGGCAACCTGTGCTCTAGTGGGGGCTGTATCCCAGCTGGGGAGGTCGACAGTGCCAGTCAGTATTTGAGAGGTGCTAAGAGCTCAAAGGAGGGCAGGCTAAGGAGAGAAGGTCCCCTGAAGTTGTCTTATAGTTAGAGAGACATCTGAGGATTTTAAAATGTGGTTTCTTCAATAATCCCACCTTTAAGCATCTTTGTTTGAAGGGGCTTAGAGGCCCCCCATATTGATGGGCACCAGGTTTCTTCTGCTGAGAGTGGGACCAGCCACACTCAACCCATTTTTTTTCAAGACATCACCTGGAAGACTTTTCCTCAGGTGGAAAGAACATCAGTCTTAGGAGACCTGGGGTAGAGCTGGCCCTGTCACTAACTCACTCTAGGACCTTGTCACCACCCTCTTCTCTGTCCCAGGACAGTATTGGGCTTACATCATAAAGCTTTGCTTGAGGATTGAGAATGATAGAAGTCCATCTTTGTGCAGAATCCTGTTATTAGCATATATATGGGGAATTAAGCTTCAGTTTTTGCTTTAAATCCAAAGAGACAAAAATCAATCCTTTTTAAATAAAAAGGATTAAGCTTGATTGTTAGGGGTCTGGGGCATAGTGCTCTGTAAACGAAAAGGGCAGCTGGTGTTTGTAAATTTCACTCTGGCTTCTACTTAGTCTTGAAGTACATTTAGTCCAGCATAATTCTTTTAGAGCTGAAGAGGTGAATATACTCTTCTAATGTGGTAAGTTACAGTCAGGGCCTAGACAGGTGAGCGCAACCAATGAACTGGGCAAAAAAAGCGTCACACGACTTCCCCTTTGTTTTATTTCAGCTATTATTATCCTTATTTTTTTAAAACAAAAGCTTTAGAATTCCTCCATACACTATCTCTATAATAATTAACTTTCTGCCTCATGTTTCTAAGACCAGAACTAATTTGTAGAAGAATTGGTTATGGTGTTGGCATTTAGCAGTGATCCTTTCATAATTAAAAAATGCTGATAATTTGTTAATGGATGTATGGAATAGCTCTAAGCCCTTTATGTGTATTAGCTCAGTCCTTGTCCCTGACAGTGAAGAAGGAAATTGAGAATAATAGCACTAGTAGTACAGAGAAATCAAATGACCTGCCCAGGGTTGGGGCACGCCGGGTGGCAGCACTGGTGTTTGCATGAGCTGGCTCCTTCGTTTGCCCCACTCAGCAGAGAAGGGCCCGTTGTGGCACCGCTCCTTGGCATCTGTACCCCAGAACTCGGGTTTGTGCTTGACCCGGACTTTAATGG